TTAATTCGGAGGTTCCCCCCCCCCCCCAAAAAAAAAACGTAGTTAGTTCCACAGGCTGCATAAAAGCTGTGAGAGCTGGCGTCTTACCATCGCGCATTCAACGGCGCTCGCGCATCCAAGCTATTGCCTTCCATGCATAGCTCCCTTCCTAAGTTCCCTATTTAAAAGTCAACCCACAACCCTGTATTATCAATTAGGTCAGCTCCCACTTCAATGTGTAGCTACCTACCTCACCTTCTCAAATCATCGGTGAACGAAAATGCGACAGCCATAATCACTGTACGACAAGTACGAGGGTCTTATAGCTGATGATGATGATGATTATGAATCCCTAGTGTCTCCCTCCTACGTGAGCGGTCTCTTACCGTCTGTTACCTCTTCGATGTATGCTTTTACAATCTGCACTTTTCTTCGCTCTGCTAATGAAAACGCTCAACTGCACTCCCAACCTACAGCGACCGTCCTGGAAACCGACCACCAACAACGAGTGGGGCTCGTTGAATTAGGCAACGTTCAAGCCCCCTTTCGAATTCTTCCGTGTTTTGATCTACCTTGGTGATCCCGATCCCGAATTACTTCTGTTAATGGGTCTAATAGGACTCCCTGTTCATCTTTCTTGGCATGTCTAGCAATTATACCGGTCAAGTCCCCGTGGTACGAGCGTTTAGGATGGTCGATTTCTTCTTCCGGTCATAAAGATATCTTCATCCTGCCCAGATTCAACGATGTAAACCCACAAAGAGAATTGATACCGTGTTTGGCGTGAGGATTGGTCCGTCTGCACACCCATCCTTGATTGCGTCCAGCAAAAAGATTCTACGTCCAATCGAGAACCCTCTGCAGGCACTTCCTCACTTCTACCACTATCGTACACTCGGTTCAAGTTGCTCACCAGTGTTTTGGAACCGAAGGGGTTTCCTCCTCGTGATCTCCAAGAACATTTTAGCTTCCCCGACTCACATAGATCCTGACCCCTCAAAAGCTGTCCATCTCAATCTATCTTGCAGTTTATGTTATACCATTTGGGCGTTTGTGTAAATTTCTACCGTTCTTCTTATCATTGTCCTTCTTTATCCTGCAATTCGCATCTGTGTATTACAAATATGGAACCCATCATCATGGCTTCAATTCAAGAGGCAAGGAACACAGAGAGGAAAAAATTACGGCTGAGGTACTCAGCGGTAGGGTCGACGATGCGGGATGGTATTCACTTTTCTATGCACTCGACTAACTAAGCAACGTTAATCACGTTGGCGCCGTTCATTCGCACAGTCTCCTTGATGATGCAAATGCCGAAATTCGATGCTAAATAAGGAGACAAATATAGGGGAGTCCTCGACCGAAAAACATAACGCACTACGGTCATGCAACACGAGCAGAAAAATGCCCGAAAAAAGTGAAGGCACTAACAGAAAATATTCGTCAATAGTCTATCTGCAGTTTTTGAACAACGGGATGGGATGTGCGTATACGCAATTCAGCAAAAAAAGTGAGTGTGGCGGCGCGGAAACCGAGGGCGCTGTATTGGTGCGAGAGGACGAAAATGCCGAGAGGATCGAAACTAATAGTATAAATCGAACGAACTAAAATCGATAAGTTGGCCAAATGATGCTGATTGAAAAAAACGGGAAAATGCAGCGCGAGGTAGCAGTCAGTAGGAACAAGTCAAAAATACGGGAGACGAACGGGTATTAAAAGACAAATAAAACACAATAGCAATGCAATGGCGGTCACCGGACACACAGCAGTCAACAGTCCGCAACTATCGATCAGAGGGTCAGAAGAACGTCACTTTTCACATCCACCTGAAGAGTCTCGAGCTGATAGGAAGGTTTGTGTAGCTGATATCCGACAGCATCATTCTTACGTGGACCCACAGTTTTCGCTCTACGTTTGGTAATCGACTTGTGGTAGTGCCGTTCGGGTTCACTTTTTACAATGCGATGTTGTTGGAAGAGAGCTGAACTATGGTCCTATGGTGGGGCTATAGACAGCTGCGTTACTCGAGTGGGCCATGCATGCCAGCGTCTCTCGTAAGAGTAGCCGACCGCACTATGCCGATCATCTCATCTAGTTGAGTTTTTCGTTCACAAACTATGTACCAACGTGTGTATCTGGGTGGGGCTGTGATCGAATCGTCTTATTTTTCCAGTGTCAACTGCACTTTAAAGATAACAACTCTGATGCAGGACTGTCACTGGCCGTGTTCATCGGCAAGTTTCATACTGAAGAGACAAGTCCGACGATGGACGAATTCTCAACAAATAGACGTACACACGACATGAAAAACACATGCTAGAATAGTTAAAAGCAAGCAATGGAACAAATAAATAAAGGATCGGAAAGCACCTCCCAATAAAACAGGACTGAATGATGCCAAAACACACAAATACACAAGGCGCTGCAGCTCGGACGTACAGGACGGGAACAAAGTCTTAACCAAAATAGGATGAACAGGGTGCTGATTAGATTATAGACATTAGAAAATAAGCATCAAAGTGCTTTCTCGCCACAAAATCGAGTATGACACCTGTTAAGAGTTCACTGAACTCAGAAATAAGTTTCGAGAACCTGATTACCATGCAGCAATAAATTTAACGCAGTTAGTGGAGAGAATATGAGAATTCTGAGTAACACAGAGGAAGGGAAAGTACTCGTGCGCAGTTGAAGCGGCAAGATGAGGCCAGAAGCTGCTAGACTTTAGTTCAGTCATCTGTGACGTAGTGCTTGTGTCAACTAAATTAGCCTTAATTAAATTTGTTACGGAGAAATGCCGATCTAGGGATGGGTCTTCCGTGTCGACAAGTTCGTAGTTTACCGAACCGAGTCAATGCTGGTTGTACTTAACGCGAACATACTACAATACCAGTTTCCAGAAAGCTCACAGCCCAGTAATGTGAATTTTGTGCAACAGACGGATTTCTGCTTAATGCCGAGTTGCCATACACTCTTTGATGAATGATGCCTTTTTCCTCGACCAGGCAGCTGGAGACACCGACACCGCGCGTAGCTGTCGTGAAGCAACGTCTATTTATTTTCTGCTGTTGAAAAATGAACGAACTGTTGTAGAAAACCAGTGCTAGTCTACCAGGAGCAGCAAATCAGACAAAAGGAAAAAAGGGTGAAAGCTGTAACACCCTTCCAGTGCATACCTGCCATGCCACCCGGAAGAAGATCGAGGGCTGGGTTACTGCCAAGTTGCCCAAATCTACGCCGGAGCACTCGAGATACGGAGGTCGGGTTCGAACTACTGACCTTCCAGACTGTTAGGTGGAATTCCACATGGATCCCCCTTTACCGCTCGCAGTCAGGTGCTGCTACGGACGAGAAGTCCATCCCACGCGAGATTGGCCGAAAATTCGGAATGCTTGCCGGTCCGGCATCAGGCCGAGATCTGATTGGTCGAAAGTCTGGACTCAACAGCCAATCATGACCCAGTATTGGCCGAACGCCGGTCACCAATGTCGCATCCAGAACGCATCAGAATTTCCAGAAAGTTATTGCCGCTTACGCTATGTATGAAGCATTGTACAAGTGTTCCTGACTTTGTTTTGGGCGTTAATACATCTTGTGCACCTTTGGTGGTTGTTTTGACGTAAACGCTTGGGTGGCTCGGATCGAGAACTAAGTTGAGAAAAATACCGTTACTACACGGACCTTGAACCCCTGAGCCATCTCGAGCTCAATCAGAAGAAAAAACGGACCGAAATTCTGTTAGCAAGGGATGTACAGGATAAGTCACTTCGGTGACAAGTCTGTCTGGTCTACGCATTAGCAGTTCCCATCAAAATGCTCCCACGTAGCTTCGTCAAAGACACTGCCTCTTATTGGCGGAGAGTTTGCCACCAAGATGATGCACGAAAAGCGCGAATTCCCAAAGTGGTGCCCTTCTTTTGGGGTCACTCCTCATAAGTACGATATGATTCGCTCTGGACCACTGCTTGAAGCAGCTCCGTGTTCATATCGTAACGTTTCGGACGAAGAAATACTGTGATGCTAAGTAGGCCACATAGATCAGGGCAAAGGACTTCAAAAGTAATTAGATGAACACGTCACAATTAACAACTAAGTTGGTTAGTGTATTCTTTCCGCTCACGAGTGGAAGATCTGTGGCGCTCACTCGATATGTCTTTGCAAATACGTTCATTCTGGTCAGCACAATCCAGTAACCACCCGAGGATGCCCCCAGATATACACTACTCATCTAGCCATTTCACATTTATGTTACCCTAAAACCACCATCTATTGTGAAACCCTACATTCGATGGGATCACTGTATTCTTTTCCTCCCAAAGGAAATGTAAGACGGTTCGGAGCTGTGACTTAATTACGACTGTGAGGTGCGATAACAGGCAAGAAGTGCAGAACGCTGGAACTTAGCCCCTCCGATCTGAAGACTCCCGTCACCGGAGGTTCGTGGCACAGAGGAAGTAGTTGGCTGCACCGGGTTCACAACAAACTCATGCGCAAATAGACACCTGTAAACCAGTCAGAATCGCTAAAGCAGCAAGTAAAACCTATTGATTCGGAGATTTGTTACTCATATCATCCACCAAACAGTGCTGTTTTCTAAACTCCTGTTGGCAAGATGATCCTGCAGGACCGTTAAATGGCGGAGAAAAATAAAAGCATCTACTGTCGAATTAGGTGCTGAGGGATCTTCACGCCTTCCTGACTGCGGTTTAGAGGTCTCTCCTTGTGTGGCTAGAAACCCCCTCCAGCAGCGACCACCTTAGCTGAAGGGCTCAAATATAGTTTATTCCTCTTTTTCGGGTAAGGTCTGCAATGCCACTGATGCAGTCTTCCTTCAACATGGTGCCTGAAAGTGTTTATCACTGTCCGAAAGTGTGTATGTAGGCTTTCAACACCGTCCCCCCTCAGAAACTGAGGGTCTTCTTTACATCTAGTCACCATCCACCTTCCTTCTTTCGACTCTTTACCGGGGCGTTCTTTTCCCTAATTGTGTGACGGCTTGATACTTATATACACTAATGTAAGTTGCGGTCGATAAAGACTTCCATAAATTATATCAGTGATTATTTTGTCGAATGATGTCTAGCACAAACGAGAACTTACCGGTGAACGTTGGACAGCTGACCAAGGCAAAACCGGTTAGGACTGGATGGGTCAGTGTAGCCGTCCACGGTGACACGTGAGTACTGGCTGGGCACTTTGAACAGTTCTCCAACTTGCTGATCCAATTCGAAGTAAGCAATGTTGCACCAGAATTCTGGCGGCCGTTGTGTTGTCAACACAGGAACGGGCTGAAACAACACACAGTGCATGCAAAGTAGGTTTAAGGAATATCATGAACATAGCACGCCTGATGTAATAATGAAAAAATTGGCACTCTTCCAGGTTATTCAGCGAACATCAGTCGCCACTGCGATGATGATAAAACAACTTCTAGACCACATGAATTATGTAAAATGTTTTCTAAATGTAACAGACTACTCACAAAGTGGATAAAAAACTCTTCTAAAACCCGTGTTTTGCTCTGCATGGAGCTCGTTTGGTGGGCACAGTCTTCCCAATTGAGTGTTTCGGTAACACCAACTGAGTTCAATCAATTGGAAAAAGTTTGCGACCGATTGAGAAGTCATCGCTTCAGAAGAGCTCATTTCAGCTCTTCAGACCGAATATCGTTTCTTATATCCCGTGTGAGTTGAAGGGACCAGTGGAAACAAACCAAGGGGTGATTCCAGCATGCTGCGCAGCTGGAACAACGACCGACTGTCATTTAAACTTAGTCTCCGGGTAATCAGTTAACATGTCGGTGAATACAGACTAATACACAGGTCGTCCCACTGACACACGAGGCAGTGGGGCTGACCAGTTTGACTAAATGGAAGACTTAACAACTACCGCCCGTTTCCCATGCGACTTCCAGGGCTGGGTAATCAGTTAACATGTCGGTGAATACAGGCTAATACACAGGTCGTCCCACTGACACACGAGGCAGTGGGGCTGACCAGTTTGACTAAATGGAAGACTTAACAACTACCGCCCGTTTCCCATGCGACTTCCACCTAACCTGCTCGTCATTCCCACCCATACTAATTTACAATCGAACGGACAACTGGCGGTTAGGCTCATGACATTCCTTATTCTGAACGTGATCTACCCGGAGGGCTCTTCGGAGATCTAGCGGCTAGACAGAGGCCACGGCTCAAGCTGAAAGTTCAGAAAAATGATAAAATAATCATTCAGCTGTAGCACCCTTTCGGTGCCTGACTGACATGCCACGCCAGGAAGTATGAGGGCTGGGGTACTGCCAGGTTGTCCAAGCCTAGACAGGGGAAGTCGAGAGGCAGATGGATGTGTCGAACCGCGGACCCTCCGGTCCGTAAATTCGCGCTCTAACCTATCTGAAAGTTCAGATAGGATAGAAATAGACCATGGTTACTATCCACAGTCACGAGCTGTTCACCGGTGTCGTTTCTGTGTGAGTCAAGGTCATGCAGACCATCAAGTGGATTGCATTAGCTGCTCTTTCGGCGATTCACGCCGCAAGACCATGCTAACCTGGTTATACAAAAGTTGCCGCAAATGAGAGCTGTCTCGGCGCGGTGAATGAGGATAACTCCAGCACCAGCAGTTCCCGAAATCGACATTGTTGAATCCCTCTAGCAGTATAGGTGGTACACAGTTTTTTGATGACGGCGATTTCAGTAGGAACGTCGAGCCGGGGTCGTCCATGCGTGTTCAATACATCCAAAATCAAGCCCCCCTAAGGTGGGAGCAAACGTGGCTGTCCAGTTTTTGTGTTCGAGCGTTAGAGAGACCAGTCGAGGAATTTCTTGACGGAGAAAGGCTGCTTGCTTAGTTACGGTTGGCTAAGGTTCATGGTGGAAGACTGACTAGAATTTGTCTCTCAGCGGCCTTTTAAAAAAAGGCTGAATGAAAACAATAAGAGGACAGGATCGCTCGAGCCACTGCAGCGCGAAGAGCTTATCCGGCTTCCTGTAGACTTTCTGTCACATTTGGTCAATGGGCACGAAACCACCCGGTTTCACCGGGGTTAAACAACACCTACGCCACGCGTAGACAGCGAACAAGGTGTCATCAGCGGAAGCCACATGGTGACAGGTTTCAAAGGATTATTTCTGTGAGATGCAAAGGCTGATTTTACATCCGCCCCGACCATGCCGGAGCGTTTGGGGCAAAGTCGGTCTGCAAATATCTAGGATTAGCAAGTATTAATGCCCAGAGGATCAACTAATATTAACGGGAACAATGAAAATGATAATGGTGACAGTAATAAATAAGACCCCTCAGCCACCACCTGGACCATAATACAAGTTAAAGCAGGGGGCGATCCGATGTGCATGAATTTGGATAAAAGCGCACGACGAAAAAGCTCAATAACCCCAGTCGAAACAATCTGTTGAAGCGTACAGAGATCATAAGATAGCCTCAGGGCTACAGCACAAAGTGCACCACCGGACGCCAACTCCTGCGTTTGCAAGTTTGCACTTTTTTGGCGGATAGTGCGAGCCACGGTAGATTATGGACAAAAGCTAGCAGACTAGAAAAGGTTGTTTTCAAGCATTGTTCTCTAAAAAAAACCCAACGCGGTTATCTGGTCATTTGATTGCTTTCAAAGCATTAAAGCAATTCTCACCTGTAGCAATGACCCGGAAGGCGTGAAAGGCGGCTGAGGTGGTCTGCCACGTTGTCCCCATCCTCCACTACCACCACCAGCGCCACATGAAGATCCGGAACTGAAGTTTGACCCGGAAGTAGTCCGACCACTGTTTCCAACTGTCCCCCCGCCACCGCCACCACCGCTGGAATTCCCCGAACCACCTCCGTCTTTGTTCGAGTTGTCATTGATGCCGGTAGCGCCGTTACCACAGACGTCCATAACGCAGGATTCCACGGAATGGGTAGCGTGTAAACCTGACAGTTTGGCTACGGTTGTGACCGAGATTCGGTCCGATGGGTCTGAGCACAAAGACGCCCCAAAGTAGTGTTCGTTGGCTGTGAACGAACTATTGGTGTAGGATTCAGAAGTAGAGAGCGTACTAGCTGCTGTCGTAGGTTGCTCTTGTGGATTGCCTGAATGGAGGGATGGTGGAGGGACGCCAACACCTGACCATGCCATTGTATTTTGACCTCGGTCAATGTGTGGGGTCGGATTGACGCGGTCTACGACAGTGTGGAGACCGTTACAATATAGGCTGCTATGCCAACTAGAAACGCTTGATACTGTGCCTAAGCCATCGTCTGGTGATGCCGGACTTTTGTGAGGACTGGAGGAGGATGAAACTGGAAGATAATAAGAATGAGGTAACATAAGTGCTTCCACAACAAAGCAGACATTTTAGGGTAAGTAACGGCAATGAAAATGCGTATAAAAAAAGCATGAAAGCTAATACCATTACCTGCAGCATCACCACCGACAGCGTGACATCAGTGTTCAACACCGATGCTTCACTGCCGTACACCATTAGCTGATAGAGGACGGTTGAAACAGAAAATTGGAGAACTTCATAGACCGCGATAGACCTGAGGTGAATCGAAACAGAAGTATTTCAACTCCGTACAGAGGCTTCCTAAAACGATTTCCATCTCGTTTTATTCTGTCAATCTTATCCCTCGAGTCGGTTGACCATGGAATTCCGTATCATGATGCACTACGAAAATTGACCGACATTCGTCAGAAACGAGTGTGACGCAACAGACAGACGCAATCACATTCCTCTCTGATCACACCATAACTCGTTTCCGGTACCTAGCTAAGGCGATTGCGTGTTGCTAGCATAAGTCACGAAATTGGCTACACAATATTCATGAGCAGGCGATATATCATCGAAAGCAACATACAGGACAAGATCGTGCGACTAAATAGTTATCATAATCCCTTCTAGAGGATATTGAGAGGACAAGGTTGTCAGTCTGAGTAACTTCTGTGATGGGTCCGATCTATCCACCAGAGGCAGCGACCGTTTTGGCCTTGCGTGCATAAAAGTTACCTCAACTAAGAGAAAAAACTGCGAATGTAGCTCAAACCTGAAAGGTGTAATAGCCCTCACTGAGCTGAGACAATGCTCAGGTTTCAAGTCACCCATGAGATGACTTTTGAAGGCTTTCACTAGTCAGCCAGATAGTTGGATAATGCCTCAATCATTTCACGATAACCGGTCGTTGGACAACACCCTAAAGCAATTCCCACCAGAAGATGAGGTTGGAACAAAGTCCATTCAGAGGTAAGTTAGTCTACGAAGAAAAGATACTTCGATGTACTGACTGACGGCCTAGCCAAGTAAGGACTGTATCTCTTACAAAGCACGCGAAGCAAAAGCAAGTGACAGAACAACTTCGAATTCATTCCATTATAACACCTACTATGTTAAGCCACAGGTATGTGCATCCTCGTCGGGCACTTTTGCAGAACGGCTCACGAAGCTCCCATGACGGTAGCACACGTTCAGAGGTACGTGAATCCAGTGAACCTATCATGTTCACAAAATCGTGACACGACCTATTGAGCAAGAGTACCCATGAACTGACAGGTCCACCGAGTCAACTAAACCCTTCAAATTGTGGCAACGTCATAGTAGTTGATGAAAAGTTAATGAGAATGGAGATATCGCTAGTGGACTCCAACCGGCCTGAATCCCACGTGCCGTTCAGGAGTTCAATGCATCATACGCTGGCGTAAGATGACAGACAAAAGAACGGGTACCGTAATAACCGTAAAAACACGAGTCAAACTGACGCCACCTGGATACTGCATACACTCGGGGCGTCACCATCGTCATCCATCCTTTCTTAACACTGTTGTTACGCTGATGTGCAGCAATAATTGACTTTGTGAAGAAAAGAATAAAAATGGACGGGGAAGGGACTTGAAGCTAACCTACCACAGTTATTCCGAGGTGCCTACACGTCCCAATACTCATTCAGACATACTGGATAGAAAGTCACAAGAACACCAATGACGTTGACTAGCAGCCATATCTTGCATCTTGTTCAACCAGGCACACTGTGGTTCACGCGAGTAGCAAAGACAGCACCCAGGATTGACTGACCCCGAGTGACACGAGACGACAGGTGTCGAATACCTGAAGACGTCTCAGTTCCGCCAAGCCTTACAGCCACACAACGAAACAACCCGCACCGTTGCTTTGACGTCATAAGTGTCTCAGATTATAGAACGCAACCTGAACCTTGCAGATTCGTGCACGAACCTCGTCTGTCACATTACAATCGGAAACAATAAAACTTCTACGATAGGTAAAGCGCTCCCTGGAATACAAGTGGCGTGTTCAGTGATTGCACGTCCACGAGCATAACATTACACTTCGTAGGTGAAAAGTGCATACCAAAGGACGGGATGACTTTGGTCAGTTCCCCAAAAAACACCTGCGCCTTCTCGAGAACGACATCGCCTGCATATTTCAGATCAACAAGGTTTCCTTCACAGGCTACTTGAACGCAAGGCGTTTGAAGACCTTCCAGCGTTCGTCTCATTATTTAGTCGATCACGAAATTGAATGAGAGTGGAGAGAGTGGGTAGCCCTGACGGACACGGTTTTCTGTATGGAAGCTTTTGGAGAGCTCCCTATATACTCAGACACGTCGGAAAGTCTGAGGATACAAAGGACTTACTTTGCTAGCAAACTTCAAGAGCATTCCTTGATGCATAAGCGTGTCCAGGAGAACAGACCGGTCAATTGAGTTGTGGGTCGCTTGTACGTATGACGTTGTTCTAGCCGCTGATAGTGTGAAAACTGGATAAAAGCCATCCATACCAAGTTCGAATCCCACTTGCTGCTCTCGACTCAGTTTCACAAGCCAATCGATGGAAGCTCGAGGGCTAGGATACTGTTGGGCTCTCTAAGCCTAGAGATGCAGACGTCGGGTTCGAATCACGAGCCTTTTGGTCAGCAAATTCGCGCCCTAACAACTGGGCCATCTCGCCCCCATGAGGCGACAAAGGACAAGTTTCACCGACAGGCTCGTTGCGATCGGAGTCAAGCTGATTCGTCTGTGTTTGGTACTCACTACGAGCCTCTTTTTTTAAAATGGGCTCCCCCCAGTTGTCTAGGACAGCCTCCTCCAGATGCAGATCAGGCAAGTCCTGACTCGGGAATCAGAATCTTCCAAAAGAAATACATACGAAAACTGTGATGGAGCGAAACTCCATCAGCGGGGCTGGCCCAGTGTCCCACGCGAACCTCATCCAACACAAGCCCATAGTCTAGCTGATCAAGAGCAGTCAGCTATTTCGCCAGATATTTCAAAGGTTACACTGCTTCCCTCTAGGATCGAACAGCAAGACGTTTTCGAGTTCTCAAGGATTATCTCACTCAGATGGAATACCGTCTTGCCTAAGGGTGCCCCCCCCCCCGAGTGCATCCTCTGCAAACCGTCACCGAAATCCGTCCTACAGAACTCCACCACCACCCTTCGAGTGGAATGCACTCCTTACGTGGGTAACAACAGATATGTTCGCTTTTGCACAGAGCTGGATGAGGTGTACAAAGGGCATACTTTGTTTTCACAGCCAGCTCCCAGCAACAACACACTTTATACGAGTCGTAGTACAGAAATCCAATGGCACAATGGGAAAATTCGTATGAGAATAGTCATGCGATTTTTGAACATAAGAATGAAAAACCTAGAGTGAATGTCGGAAGTGATCAGGTTGGTAGGATGAGCTGTTAACGTGCCGTAGCAAGACAACCGAGGTCTTCAATCTTCCTAAGGGTGTCGGTATTCTTCGGAACCACAAGGGTTTTGAGTATCTACAACTCTAATTGGATCGAAACCTATCAAATGAGTAAGGAGAACAAGACGAGTTAATATAAAAACACCGCTTAACAACGAACCGTTTGTGGGGGCAATCGGGGAATCCGCTTCATCTAGCAAGGCCTGCACAGTGAGTCGGCTGCGGCAGTATCCCAGCCGATCACTAGTCGAGGAGGTGACTTTGTCGGATGAGTCACGGGTAGTTAGAGAGCGGGCGGAATCGGAGTCCAGTCGCGCGCTGTGATCAAGCATACCAGGCACAGTGGTATCAGGCAATTCAGACTCACTGTCCGTAGCGTCTGCTATCCCACAATCTACAATAATTGAGACAAAAGTGATCCACATATACACAGGGATAACATGACAAAAAAGCGAAACTGGCGTTACGATTATAGTTTTCATAAGACGAATGACGTCCATTGCCCGAATGACCTACCAAAATGGTACTAAAAGCCATCTCGTCCGAAAGAACTAGGTTTGCACGACGAGGCCGAAATAACTGAGAGCCGGCAACATCCTGACTGTACTATCCATCACACCTTGCTGACCAGTCTTTTGGTGACGGTCTTACCCATTTTCAAGTAGGTATGACGTAATCTTTTCTGACTAATCAATGATGCAGAAAACGCATGGGACCAATCGAGATCGTCTCAAAATTATACGAAAAACAATGGGTAATTTATCGCTTGGCAACGTTTTGCTTTTGACATAAAAGCTTCGTCAGGCCAAGCGGTCGGTCGGTTCTTTACTGACAGTCCTTCGCTGTAGTAAGAATAAAATCTTTATGATGTGTCACTCCTACGGTGTGTAGCTGAGGAGTGATGTAAAGTCAGTTTCTACGAACCTAGCAACAAAAAAGCCTGGTGGCTTGGGAAAGAATCACCGGCTAGCGGTTCGTACACTTATAGTAAGGATATAACCGAATCAAAAACATCTCCCGTATCCATTAATAAGAAATAATAATATTAATAAACGAATTTTGCACCCGTCACAGTGGGGCGACATGACAGATAGAACAACGATGAAAACCCTTCCTTTGTTGCTGAATGTTTCTCTGGTTGACCTAGGTATATAAACGACGGGTTCCCAAAAAGATGGACGAAGCGGGTACTGATGATGCTATTAATTGAATAAGCGCACATTCCACGCAGATTCAACGAATAAAACATGGATAACAAACGTCCCCGGACAAATCAAAATAGACAACAGTGCAACGTACAGCTACATCGTCTTATTTGCATCATACTGAATCAAGCGAACAATGAGTAAAATGTTTTGGTTGTCCTCACCTGCGCTCGAGAAGCCATTTTTAGTGAGTCCGCTGAAGCGTATTTCAAGGGTTAACTTGCCCTCAAAAGAGATACTTTTTGTCGGTCCTTTGAGTGCCCTCTCTACAAAAAGGACAACCAAAATTACCGGACTTAACAACGCTGTTTGTACAAAAACAGGTAGCAAGAGGATGAGTGGAAGAATGGGGTAGAGATGGCTCAGAGTGCGAATTTACTGACCGGAAGGTCCCTGGTTCGAAAGCGACCTCTGCATCTCCACTTCCCCTGTCTAGGCTTGGGCAACCTGGCAGTATCCCAGCCCTCGCACTCCCTTTGGGTGGCATTGCAGCCAGGCACCGAAAATGTGTTACAGCCGAGTGATTATCTACTATTTAGTCTTTTGGTCGAGGCGATAACTTTGATGCAACAGCGCCACTGATTGACATATACACCTCTGTCAGGGTCATTAACCACTGAGTTGTCTCGCCCTTTGGTCCCCATCCTGGAAGACGGTATTTAACAACGCCACTAAGTTGACCGGTAAGAGCCTGCATTCTTCAATGTCAGGTAATAGACTGACCCTCCCGGGTCAGCTCCATCTGACATTAGGCTGGGTAAAGACAGGGCAAATCTTTTGGCATGCGAAACATACGACCTGACTAGCGAAACCTGTGGAGTATGACCAGCTGATCTTTCCAGGGAAAGTGAAGTTGTCTAACTTCTTCGAAGGGTTCTTCAGCACAACTGGGTGAAGGGTGGAAACGAGCTAGGGAAAGTCAAACAATGACTTGGCAGCGAAGTATGCCCCCCCCCTGAGACGGGAAACATCAATGGTTAGAGACATTGTCAGACATGAAGCAGTCGCACCTTCAAAAGTCTCCCCCGTGAGACGGGAAACATCAATGGTTAGAGACATTGTCAGACATGAAGCAGTCGCGCCTTCAAAGGCGCTCGTGCGTCTATGCTATTGCCGTCGCTGCAAGCTCCCTTTCCAATCTCTCCAGTGACAACCTTGTATTTACGCATAAATCATGTAAGCTCCCGTCTATATTCCACAACTACCTACCCGACCTCCCTAAATGACCGGTGAACGAAACTGAAGCAGCTACGAACACTGTACAAGTACGCAGTTCTTGCGGATGATTATGATGAACTTGCCCGAAAACCACCTGATGTACTTCTGTAATACTGATCTGGTGTTCCCACCAGATTCCCGCAATGCTTCGGAGGCACTCATACTCAAAACCAGAGAGCCTTCGATGGTCCATCACACGCAGCGCCCACCATTTCGATCCATAAAGGACAACTCAGACAGGGGTATCGTATGCTGTATCCCTGAGAGTCAAACTGTCACTTAGGCACCACAAATGTTGGACACTGCCCTGGCCATCCACATTCAGGAAGTGATTTCGTCTTTCGCCACACCGACAGGGATGGTGCAGCTGCCCAGGTAAACAAACTTATTGACTACATCGATCGGTTCTCCTGTACGTATGAGGTTCGGGTTCAATCCCACTTAATCTTGCAGCAACCCTTTACACTTTACGGGTGCGAAGTGCACACTCAATTGTGCTACACAATTATTTAGGTTAATCAAAACAGTTTGCACTACTAGAGGACCTGATTTAAGGAAAGCAACATCATTGGCGTGCTCCATGTCTGTGAGAAAACGCCCCGGTAGCACTTCGATCTCTGAGTTTAGAGGTCGGTGAAGATTCAAGCAGCATAATTATTACGAAGTTGAAGAGAAAGGGCGACAGAGGACATCCTTGTCTGACACAAATGGATGTGGCGAGCTCAGGAAAGAACTTGCCGTAAACATGCACACGACCATGGGAGTTTGAAAGCTTCCCTGAGACAAGAATTTAGAAGCGACAATCGTTAGCGCCAGACACTGTTACCATTCCTATCGATCAACGGAGTGCAAAGCTGGTTTTAGATTGGGAAATACGACCACTGTTGGTTGTCGGAAGAATTGCGTAGTTCCAACACCTGTCGCAAGGTGAAGATATGATTAATGTATCCATGGCCAAGGAGAAGCTGAGCTTCACTCTTGCGGATCTGAGTATCTCGATGACGGATCATTCTGTGTAGGATGCCCCCAGAGGACACCTTAGAAGTTACAGAGAGCTGATATCTCGGTGGCTTCCCCGCGACATCCTTATACCCTTTTTGAATACGTGAATCATTGTCGAGGCGCACAACTCTCTTGGGAGCTTTTCCTCATTGTAGACATTTGTAGTAGGATCGACAGGTTAGCAACGACGATCTTGCCTGCTTTGAGTGCTCCGTTTTGTTGAAGCATTTAGATCACACACTGGACTTCCGTCGTCGATGGTGTCCACGTCCTACTTGGGTCCAGTTAGACTTTCCAGCGCGTGAGTTGATAGGGTCCAGCAGAACTGCTCACCTGAAGTGTTCAAACAATTATTCAAGAAGTTTCTTTGAATGGATTGCGTTCCATCCTATTCAGGGATTGTTTTACTAATGTTCACCCTATTCGGACCAGTTGATCGGATTATCTAGAACAGGGTGTGATTGTTCCGTGTTACAAAAGCTTCCTGTATTTTCCAGGCTTTCGGCATTCCCCAGCGCTCTGCAAATCGTTTGGCCTTTCATTATTCAGCAGCTGAATGATATAGGGTCGCCATAATAGTCGTCTGTTGCTGGTAAGTTTTCTTGGCTTCAATCAGAACCACCGATCGTGAAGAGACACAGTGTCCATTGGGATGTGCGAGCGAACCTGGGCAGATGGTTTCAAAAGTTTCTGACATGGTATCTTTCACCTTTCTCCAATAGTCACCCAGATCACCATTGCAACTATCGTATCTATCCAGTTTTGGAGGCTTCTCAGCTAGTTCAGCTCAATACTGTTGAGCTACAGACGCTCTGTAGGTGAAGTGAATGGCTTTGAATGGTGTTTTCCCGAAGGAAAGCGAATAAATGTGTACGCGCGCTATGGCACGATCAGAGTCCAGATGACTGTTGAGCGACGCTCTGTAGGTGAAGTGAATGGCTTTGAATGGTGTTTTCCCGAAGGAAAGCGAATAAATGTGTACGCGCGCTATGGCTGGCACAGAGTCCAGATGTCATCATCATCATCATCAACGACAGCATGACATCAGTGCTCAACACCAATGCTTCACTGCCGTACAACCACGACTTATTTGAAAGCCTTATTGTAAAGAAAAGAATAAAGGTGGATGGGGGAGGGACTTAGTGCTAGCTTAACACAATCATTCCGAGGTGCCTACACCTCCAGACATTCATTCAGGCAATCTGGACAGAAACTGACAACAAGAACGCCACTGACATCGGTTGGCAGCCATATCTTGTAGTGTCTCCAACCAGGCAAAGTGAGGATCACGCGGTCCCCATCCTGGAAGGCGAGT